ACTTTGTCCTAACGTATCTGTGTAGATAAAACATTCTTGATCTGTATTTGGGATTTTGAATGTTATTTTAGGGTAAGATGTTCATTTCCTTTCTAGATATAATTAAAAAAATAATTTACTTAATGGAGATGTTCTGAGTAATAAGGCCAATCAGCTTGTTACATTGTAGTTAAGTTGTTACTCTGTTTGGGATAAAAGTCTGTTATAAACTGAATACGTTCTAGGAGATCCAAAGGAGGTTTATGTTCATAGTTTGATAAATATTATTAACATTTTATACACAGGCTCTACCGTTCAACTTCATGTACAGTGCTCCTGCAGGAGGAGGAGCCAGCTCCAGGTCAGAAAGTGGAGATGTATCCGGAAACGTGGTGGGTTCATACAGCGTGGAGGACCCTGATGGACGTCGCAGGAAAGTAGACTACACTGCTGGTTCTGGAGGATTCAAAGCAAATATTCAAAGTAATGAACCTGGTGTGGAACCTGGTAGTAACCCTGCTGATGTAGAAATCAATGCTTATGCAGGACTTCCCATGATTCCTGCTGGTGCCCCTGCTGCTGGTGGCCCTGCTGATGCCCCTGCTGCTGGTGCTTCTGGAGGTGAAGACATAGGTGGTGCAGTAAGTATACGTTACATAAAATAACTTTTCATATAGTAGGTTATTCGGGGATTGACTACCAAACATTTTTGTATTTTAGTAATAAATCCTTGCAATAATAATTTTGAAATCGTTCGACTGTCTTTCCCTTTGAAAACAATATTTGAATAATGTTGTAATCAACAGTCTTCCAACACTTGACTTATATTTAATGGTCTGTCACTAATCTTGTTAAAATGTGTTTATATTATACTTTGTCCTAACGTTTTTGTTTAGATAAAATATTCTCAATCTGTATTTGGGATTTTGAAAGTTATTTTAGGGTAAGGTGTTCATTTCCTTTCTAGATATAATTAAAAAAATAATTTACTTAATGGAGATGTTCTGGGTAATAAGGTTGTTATATTGTAGTTTAGTTGTTACTCTGATTGGGATAAAAGTCTGTTATGAACTGAATACGTTTTAGGAGATCCAAAGGAGGGCTATGTTCATAGTTGGATAAATATTATTA